TTTAAATAAGTATATATTATTATATTATATACACAGGGGATCAAATATCATTTTCATAATATGGTAGGGTCTCAACTTTTTCCAGTAAGATCCATCATATTATTCGGCATGATGATACAGTTACATATACAGGAGTTGAACCTGAGAAGAGTCTCATCAGTCTCTCAGAATTTCTGATGTCATCCATGGCCTACATTGATCAAGTTCAACTCTTTAGATGACGCACACTTCATGTAGAAAGCTGTACGGTTCTCTTCCTAAGACTGCCACCACCAACATTTTTCTCTTTTTTCTGTTTCTGACACATGATATTAGTGCACATTAAGTACATGAGGAGAATCCTATTTTTAAAAAGTAACACTTCGTCGCATAAATCAATAATCAATAAAAGCGAACCCCACCCACCAAGGGAGGTAACCAGCAATAATTATAAAAATAACTACAATATCAAGGAACTGAGATGGATGCAACACTTTTCTCATCAAGACCGAGTTCACAATATATTATAATAAATGCACACTCTAGGTAAACACATGCCTAAGAGCCCTCCCGAGCAATGCGTTCAGGGCAGAGACTACTATTTCATAATATATTGAAGATGACTGTAAATTTAACAGAGAGAGGTCTCAAAAATCGCCTTTTAAAAATTGCCTCTGACACAGGGCAGATCATGTTGAATTTCTTCCAAAATTGACTTCCAACCCAAGCCATGTATACCTCAACACACTCTCTTTGTCTTAGTGTATCCAAGTCTCACAAATGAGTGCCTCAGCATGACCTGATATATCTGCCAACATTGCCTGGGCCAAAATCTGTAGTTGACACAAATTTTTGTCCAAAAATCTGTAGAGTTGACCTAAAAAAATCTGTAGTAGACTATACTATATTACCCCACTCGTTGCATACTTAATTTGGGACCCTTCATTTTGACCCACATCATAAGCACGAATGTGTTTGCGACTTTAAACAAATGTAGAAAATGACAAAGAAAAAAAAAGACAAAATGAAAACTACCAGAGGCATTTACCCATAGTAGTGTAGTTGGTGCCGTTCCTGTCCTATTCATCATACATGCACGCACACACACAATTGAAACTAAAAAAGCACCAAAAAACCCCCCAAAAACAGTTCAGAAGCATAGAAACAAAGATGAAGAAAAGGGGGGCCTTGGATGACTTTTACCTAGCCTTGGCTCTCTATGCCTTTGCAGAGTTTACAAGGTAAGAGTGGATCCCGAGTCCACACAAGGCCTGCACCAACGCGCGTTTTGCAGAGAGTTCTAGAACTACAAAATTTAGAATACTAAAATTTGCTTCCAAGTTCAGTTTTTGTCCCCTGGTGTTGCCTCCAACCCAACACCCCCCTCCCCAGAATGTATCCTTAAAAAAATCAATAATCCGCCCATTCCGGAGTCCTATAGATACTTTGCAGTGCTCAGACTTCGAATGAACTTTGGTAACCCCTACAATTGCCGGTGCTCACAATGTGATGGAACGCACAGGTTCACTGACCAGTCACCATGGCGAGCCCGACAAGACGACTATAACTTTCTTTTATTTATTTTGTTCACAAGTTGTGACAGCACAGGTCAAATATTGATTTATTTTCATGGCGACGCAGCGTTTGCCATGCACAACCTGCATGTTACAATTAATGTTGCGTTTGATCAAACTACTACCAGCAAATTTCTGGGTGGTAACGAAAGTGAAAGTATAGCTTATCCTGATCAAATGTGGGTATCACACATACACTTCCGCTTGCCACCATAGCCGCCTGTCCGCGTGAATAAGAAGCATACCACACTCTCTGGAAAGCCGAATGAATATCACAATTGCGACAGAGGCAAAAATGAACTTCAGGGCGTTATCGGATTTGGTTTTCAAATATTCGATAATATACTTTCTCAAATTCCTGGGTAATTCCAGGGGCCTGGCAGAAACCCTGCTGAATCACGAAGTCGGTGGCTTATCTCTCAAAATCGGTGGATCGGTAGTTTGACCAAAAAGTTGGTGATCTATCAATTTTTTCTGTAGGGTTGGCAGAGGTATGATTTTATCTCTCTAGCACTTTCCCTCTTAAGGTATTAAGTAGGCTTATTAAATAATGAGTGCTGTTGACTGTTCCAAACACATTGAGTGCCCTTAGCTCAAAGGTTTAGTAAAGGCTTAAATTTATATTTTTATAAAAGTTTACAATTAATATTATAAATTTTTATGAATAAATAGCTTGTTCACTTTCGTCAAACCACGGTGAAAAAATTCTACTCATTTATTAATTTGCCTCTATGCCCAGGCCAGCCACCAAACAAAAAATATTTTTAAAAATTTTGATTCAGTAAGGCCTAATTTTTTTATAAATTGTTCACTTTGGGTCCAATTATAATTGAAAACAGCTCTTTAGAAGCATACACATAGGATTGCAAAAATAAATGACTTACAGTAATCTTGCCTACAAATTGCTCATTTTGGGACAGCGACACCACCTTGCCTGATCAATTCAGTGTTTACAGAGTGAGGATCCCCCAAGAAGTCTCCATGTGCTCCACATGAGTCTCGAAAATGACTCATCCCGTACTCTATGGGATTTCCATGGCAAACGCTAGCATTGGTGTTGATGAAAATATGTCAACTTTATGATGTTTTAGACTTTTGCTATAATAATAAAACACCTATAATTTTTTAAAACCCGCTTTAGGCTTCAAGGCCTACATCAAAATCAAAGAAAACGTGTCAGAAGATTTTGAATGACCTTTATGATGAATGGGATTTTAGATTCTGTTAGTCATCCGACTTTTAGACCTGTACGCAAAGATCTGAGAAAATAAAGCTGAGCGATTGCATTTCATCCTCTTTATAGGCCTATTTGTTACACTTCTGTCAGACAAACGGGAGCAGAACAAGTTCAGAAGCTAATTTATAAATTTCGTCCTGTGGTAGTGCATGAATCTGAATTGTATTGTACTTTTGGGTGATGGAATCTGGGTCCTTGCACTGTGGGCTACTTCTGTGGAGATCACTGCACTCTGCTCCTGTTTGTAGTCTGACACCTATTATTGCCAGTAACTAAGTCGACGAACAAACATTTTAACGTCTAGCACCCCACCCCCATCCCCTTCCCACCCCCTTTTTTAGGACACTATTTTTTCCTCTCTCACTCGGATGATTGATCTGATGCTTGATGCTGCTTGGCCAGCATAGAGTTCATTTGTCTCTTTGAAAACAAATACTTATTTCAATGTATATGAAGAGATGTTGAACTATCAACACAGATAAAGAATAGACCTAGATCTAGATACAGACTCTGAATCCTAAAACTTGAGGAGTAGCTTGGCTTAGTTAGAGATGAGAGGCTAGAGACCCGTCGTCACTGACCACTTCACAGCAAAACCAACGACAGGCCCAAATTAGACAGAGAACATTGACGCCCAGTTCGCAACAACAGCGGCATAATAAAGAATGAAACAGTTATGCATTCATTTCTGATAAGGTTTATCATAACTCACATGGTTCACTGTGCATAAAATTATATATAATCCCGGAATTGCTGGACAGTTTATCAATTTCTAAAAGAGACAAACTGACTGGGTCAATAACAAGCAGCATCCCTCTTCCGGATAATGATGACCCGGAAGTAGTGTCCAGAGGCTGGAGAGTTTACCTGCAGCTGATTGTTGCTTGTTTGTTGCCTTTAGTTGACATAGACTGCTGGAATATAACCCGAAACCAGTTGATTTCTGCACTACACTGTAAGATATTGCCCTGAATTTATCTTGAAAAGGACCGTTTTTTTCCTGGTAGAGCTACTGTATGCTTTATTTCCTGTTAATTGGTTTGTTTATGATATTTTCAGGGACTATAAAAATCATGTGATCTCAGTTGTCTGTCTGTGGACTGGGGGCTAACACCATCCTGCATTGACTTGACATTAGTAGGTCTATGTATGCCTGCCGTCTATGGTCATGTTTAAGTACTCTCTCCTAAATTATAACCTTTTGGAGTAGGTCTACCGTATTGGTCAGTAACAGGAAGTTAAGAGGTTTGTACGTTGGGTTCTTAGAGGGTTTGGGGTGGGGTTGTGAGTTTGCTGAAAGGGGCGGATACCCTGCTCTCTGTTTACATTTTAGTTTAGCCTTTCTCTAATTTCTTGGTAATTTATCAGAATTTGAAAAAAAACTAGATTCTAGATCTATGCTTTGATGAGCCGCTACTGTTCTCATGGGTAGGTTACAAGTTCTATCATGGCTACCCAGGCCTGTCGTCTCTGCAAACAGCTCAGTAGATTGGCCAAAGGGCCAAAACCAAAGTAGGGGTGTTAGATTCTCTAGTGTTGGGGAATAAGAAATACAAAACGAATTGTATCAGACCCGGTAACCGGGGACAAAGTCACGAAGTATACAGACCCGGTAGGGGAAATCTTTTGTGATTTCGGAAAGTTTCAGCACCCAGACCCGGTATAGTGTGTGTGTGTGTGTGTGTGTGTGTGTGTATGTGTGTGTGTGTGTGTGTGTGTGAGAGAGAGAGAGAGAGAGAGAGAGAGAGAGAGGAGGGGGTAGAGAAAAGGGGGAAGTGCTAGCAAATATCACATGCCCCAGTTGACAGGAGGGAACGAGAGAAAGATAGAGTGGGGAAGTAGGTGGGGGAGAAAGAAAGACAGAGACAAACAAAGAGAAAGAGATGACAAGCGCTACATAGAGAGAGAGAGGCAGGCAAAAAAGAGGGGAGAGAGACAGAGAAATAGAGAGGGTGACTGCTCGATTGAAATTATGACATTGTTCTTATTCTTCAAATTGTCTTAATTGGTTCCTCCAACTCCAAAACGGAGGAAAAACGATGGTTCATCGAAAAGACATTCACAGTCTTCATTTAGATCTAGATCTAGGCCTCGAAACTAGATCTATGATTTACGTCTGTCTGTCTACTAACTAGATCTATGATTTATGTCTGTCTGTCTACTAACTAGATCTATGATTTATGTCTGTCTGTCTACTAACTAGATCTATGATTTATGTCTGTCTGTCTACTAACTAGATCTATGATTTATGTCTGTCTGTCTACTAACTAGATCTATGATTTATGTCTGTCTGTCTACTAACTAGATCTAAACCTAGGCCATAAATCAAGAAGAACCTAGGTAGGTAGGTCTACCCTGAGCCAAGAGGGTGCTGAAACTTTCCGAAATCACAAAAGATTTCCCCTACCGGGTCTGTATACTTCGTGACTTTGTTTCCGGTTACCGGATACACTCCCAATACAAAAAGAAATTAAATGTACAGATCGAGATCTAGATCTAGACTAGATCTAGATTTAGATCTGTGCGTCTTGTGTGAGGTGCCAAATTAAAATATCATCTCCTCGGCCTTTTCACCCACCCCCCAACCACCCCGCTCCACGCTCCATTATCGTTAGGACAGGGCCTATATATAGTCTAATTAAATTATATATATATATATATATATATATATAGCATTTTGTGAAAAAGAGACAAGGGAAGTCTGCCTATTTATGGTCTACAACATAACCACCAAACCTCAGTTTCAAGACATGATAGATGAAGGTGTTAAGTATAGTAGGCCCTATGTACAGACTAGTTCATCTGTGGGGGGGGGGGGGGGAATATGGGTCACGACACTGTGGAATCAGGCGCTCAGCAATTTTTAAGTATGTGAAACTATTGGTATAATCATAAGCTTGTTGTTTTAAATGATTTTTATGAAAAACACCCTTGCTATCTTGAATAGTAAGTCAAATTATTTGCGATTTTGTAGGAAGCGGGGATTGCTGGTTTCAGAGATAAAATTAGCGAGAAAATAGCGGCCAAAGTTTAGTGACTTCCGAAGCTCGGGAGTCAACGATCTTTGGAAACTGAAAGTGAACGTTTTTTGCATCTTAAATCAATGGTTATTGATGGTAAAATCCACACAGAAATTTAAAAGAAATTGATGCTTGCTTAAGGTGTTGAGCCAAAGAACAAAAAATCGATAAATTTTGCGAAACCTGCGGAAAAATGCTGTTTTCTTCAATTTCAATATTTTGACGAGCACCTGATTTCACGGCGATGCCTCGCTTATTGTCTGTTGTCTGTCCTACACCACACTGTATGAAAGCAAGATGATATGCATATATGTGAGGCAGCGTGGTGGAATCAGGCTCTCGTCAAAATAATGAAATTTGAAGAAAACAGCACTTTTCTCCCTGGTTAGCAATTTTTATCAAATTTTTGTTTTTTGGCTCAACACCTTGTATGTCTATTTACAAACATATTCCTTCGAGGATTTCACCGAAAACGTTGATTACATTACAAAAATATAAATTTACAGTCTCCTTGGACTCTCCAGCTTTGGAATTTACCAAGCTTTGGCGGCCATTTTTTCGCTAGTGTTTCCTCTTAAACCAGGTGACCCCCACCTCCTTCAATCCAAAATATCTCCACTTCTATTGAAGATGGATGGGTAATTTTTTCATTGAAAGCAAGACAAAAGAACAAGCTTTAAGGTGATACCAATAGCTCAATATGCCCAAAAATTGACGAGAGCCTGATTCCACCATGCTACCTCACACACACACACACACACACATATATAATATATATATATATATATATATATATATATATATCTATATCTATATATATATCTATATATATATATATATATGGATGAAAACTTAAGCTGTGTACTTGTAGATTCTTTATTGGACTGGAGAAAGCGAGAGCTTTTCACATAAAAACCTGAAAAGCTACATCCCATTTCAAGGGATAGGCCACTCCTGAAGATTTATGATAGAGAATGATGTACAGGAAATTGAAAAGAATGTCCGGATGCTAGCAGAAGATAGGGAAAGGTGGATAGTCATTTTTTGTGGTCTTTACCCTGTTCCAGGGTGAGAAAGGTATTGAGGATGATGATATCACTTCTTGATCTTGTACCGGTACTCTCGATTGTTGTTTTTTTACAGTTTTGGTATTTGAGGCGTGGTAGGGAGGACTTTAGGGCAACATGGCCTCTATACTGGACCAGTATGAGGAGGAATCAAATCGAGATGCTGGACGCAGACCCAATCAGACAGGTGTTGATTTGGTAAGTAGGGATCTATCTACCACACGATGGTTGTTCACTTTATATATATTTCCTTGTGTATTTCATATTAAGATTTGTGTGGTTTATAGAGTAGTAAGGATTTTTACTGTTTCCCTCCTCTTATAATTTTGGGGACTCCCTTCCTTGTCAGTGGATGTTGAATAAAGATTAGACAAGATGTTTGTTCTTGATTTTTTTTTTTACAGGACTCATCATTGTGGGTGTTTGGTGGGTGCTCTGGTGTGGTTTGCTTCTTATTTCCGATCGAACATCTACCATCGTTTTGCTCTTTCTTCTCTTATTAATTTAAATAAATATGTTACTCTTTTGTAACACGTTTAATCGTCAACACTCGTAATGACGTAATTGTGTTGCAAGTGGTGTAAAATGCTAAGCTAAAAAGGACTAATCAAATCATTGCCTAACCTAATTATTATAAATATTTTCTAGACGAAATTCTTTTTGGGGAAATACTCAAGTACAGTTCTTGCTATATAAGGGTTTTTTTGTCAGGTTTTTTTTTCTCAAATATTTATTATCAGAAATATATATAATTAATGTCGACATGATGCCTTAAGCTTAAGAATAGCCACAGAACGAATTCTGTAGGTTTTCTCCAACTTCATGCTTTATTCTTAAGTCTCTTATATATATAGAGAGCTTCCATGTTTGGCAGACTGATGTCCTGCTGTTACAATAAACGAATGCAAGATGTGTTGTGCAGCCCTTTTGTCATTTCTTATATATGAATTTGTACTTGGACGTTAGGTGTGTAGACCTGTTTGCACATGGAAGTAGGGGCTAGAAAAATCATATAGTACATTTTTATTATTATTGAATAGATATTAATATTATTAAATTATTACTTTTTTTTCTTTTAATGAAGTAAATTTTGTTGTTCTTTTTTTCTTTCTTTAGATATCTCAAGGCTTCATTGATGCCAGGCTTGAGGGAGAGACTCCAATCTTCAGTAAAAAGAAAGTGAACTTCAAGTAAGCACACACATACCTTACTATTCAGTTTGATTATGTTGTGATTGCCCATTTGCATTTTTTATCCTTGCTTTCTGCTTCTTTAATTATATCTCTTCCTTATTCTGATTGTTTTGTGTTGGTTTTGTATGTAGAAAGAATTCAAACATTTTTTTTCACAAGAAGCAGATTCTGGATTTATAATGTTTGCTTTGTTTTTGTTGAATAGTTTCACCTTTTTGAAAAGTGAATTTTTATTGACTTCGACTGCATAGATAGTATAAGACTCCACCTTAAGGCATATTGAAAAGTTACTTTTTACACCGAGCAGTGAATAAGGCATATTGAAAAGTTACTTTTTACACCGAGCAGTTAATAAGGCATATTGAAAAGTGACTTTTTACACTGAGCAGTTAATAAGCATATATTGAAAAGTTACTTTTTACACCGAGCAGTCAATTTGTTTCTTTTCTCTTCTCTCTTTCATTCTTTACCTTGGTACCCTGGCTAAAACTAAAACAGCACCTGAACAAGGATGGCTGGTGCCTCTATAAATAAATTATTGATGGTCGACCTTGGTACCCTTTTTGTATTCAAACGTCTGTTAAACGCTTATTGACCGTTATTGACTCAACTGACTGCATTTAAATTTGGTCTAGAAACCCATTTATTTAAATTTAAATTCCCATTTACTAAGTTGTTTTAGTGTCTTCTTCTTACAACAAGTCTGATCAGTGGCCACAGTATGTAAGAGTTGATTTAAATCTTATTTCGTTGTAAAGCTACAAGAGCCACCTGGAAGTGGGCATTTTAGAAATTATCTTTAAATTATTATTTTAATACTATACTATTATTGTCATTAAATAATAATATCATTATGATTATTTACCATTGTCATCTTCATTATTATTATTATTATTATTATTATTATTATTATTATTATTATTATTATTATTATTATTATTTATTTTATTTATTTATTAATTTATTTTTTTAAAAATTAAAATTTTTACTATTATTATTAATAATTATAAGTATCATAATAATTACTATTTTGATGATGGTTATCATTACTAATATGATGATGATTGTCATTACTAATATGATGATGATTGTCATTACTAATATGATGATGATTGTCATTACTAATATGATGATGATTCTCATTACTAATATGATGATGATTCTCATTACTAATATGATGATGGTTATCATTACTAATATGATGATGATTATCATTACTAATATGATGATGATTGTCATTACTAATATGATGATGATTGTCATTACTAATATGATGATGATTGTCATTACTAATATGATGATGATTCTCATTACTAATATGATGATGATTCTCATTACTAATATGATGATGGTTATCATTACTAATATGATGATGATTATCATTACTAATATGATGATGATTGTCATTACTAATATGATGATGATTGTCATTACTAATATGATGATGGTTATCATTACTAATATGATGATGATTATCATTACTAATATGATGATGATTGTCATTACTAATATGATGATGATTCTCATTACTAATATGATGATGATTGTCATTACTAATATGATGATGATGATGACGTTCCAGGCCCCCGGACCCCATCAGCCACCTTGTGGTGAGCAACAACTTCCTGGTGATGGCCATGACCAGCAACCTGCTGCTGAGGCTGGATCTGGATCACCCGGACCAGCCTGATGGTCAGTGTTGTTGTCGGTGTTGTTGTTGTTGTTGTTGTCGGTGTTTTTGTTGTCGGTGTTGTTGTTGTTGTTGCTGATGTTGTTGTTGTTGGTGTTGTGGTTGTTGTTGTTGCTGATGTTGTTGTTGTGTGTGTTGTTGTCGTTGTTGTGTGTGTTGTTGTTGTTGTTATGTGTGTTGGTGTTATTGTTGTCGTTGTTCTTGTTGTTGATGCTGTTGTTGATGCTGTTGTTGTTGTTGTTGTTGTTGTTTTTGTTGTTGTTGTTGCTGTTGTTGTTGTTGTTGTCGTCGGTTGCTGTTGTTGTGGTTGTTGTTATTGTAGGAGTCTTATTTGTTTGTTTTAGTAAGGTTTTGCGGCGCTCACAACTGCATAAGGTCATATGAGCGCCAAGGGGTGGATGTCGACAGAGAAGTCCAAACAGGGAATCATACTTACTCTGCTCACCTCTCTAGCCTCAACAGCACAATGTCTGCTTCGACTATCAAGGCACCCCGGAAATAACAGTTCACAAGAGAGTGACAAACGGACAAAAGAAGTAGAGGACAAAATGACGATAGTAAGGATGAGGAAAGAAAAAGCAGCAGTCCCCCCTATGTTGTTCTGGCACAGTATGAGCATGACATTGATAAATCAGCCCATTTACAATTCTACTGTGCATAAGAACATGTTAAAATCCCCCCCTTTCGGAAGGGCCTAAAGACACTCCAGTCAGTAGCACTGCCCGGGGGGGGGGGTAAGGACTCTTAGAGTGCGTGGTCAGTTTGTTGTCGTTGTAGGACTGGGTGGTGTCTTATAGGGGGTGTCCATTGGAGGATTGGTTCGGTTCAGATCGGTTCGGTTCAGATCGGTTTGGTTTCTGGCAGCTTCAGTGCAAACTATAAATAGGCCCCTGCCTCAAACCAATCGCCAACTCACGTCTTTGAAAACGAACATGTTTGTTCTTGAAGGTCATGGTCAGTTTCGTTCGGTTTGTGCCGGAGCAGTAGCTATTCCCCCTTCATGGAGGAAAATCTGGCTAACCGCAACAACCAAACCAAACCAAACCGAACCGATCTTGCCAATGGGCACCGGGTACTATAGCACATGGTCAGTTTGATTTTGTTGTAGGTCTGGTTGGTCTCTTTGAGAGCAAGTTTTCACGTGTGGTTGACGGGTCCTCTGGTGGGATTTGCCCCTTCTTACTTATCTAATGTCTATTGTTCTTAACCTGCCTACCTCTGTTCTTTGTATGTTACTCTCCAGTGACTTATATGTCCTTTCTGTTGGTGTGGAAATTTTTGTTGTTGCATAGTTAAAAGTAGTATTTATTCATATTTATTTATTTATTTATTTATTTATTTATTTATTTATTATTTATTTATTTATTTATTTATTTATTTATTTATTTATTTAACTGCAACCTTGCCCAGCCCCTGAGCATTTATTTGAATTGTTTTTCCATTATATGCTGTTTATAATTCTAATACATTTGTCTTTTTGGTTGCGTTTTCCAGAAGTTGAACTGCCCCGCTCGGTCGATGACAGAGTACACAAAATCTTCTTGGACCCGACGGGAAGACATTTGATCATCTCCATGACTTCGCAGGACAATTATTATTTGTCCCGAAATTGGAAAAAACCAAAACCCATTTCCAAACTGAAGGTTGAGAGCTTTTTTTGTCTTATTTAGACGTCTATTAATAATATAAGAGGTTAGATTATGTTTCAGCTTTTTCCTATTTTGTACAGTGTGGATCTCGTTTTTTTACATTCATTTCTACTCTCTCTGATAAGGAGCTAGCAATGAATAACAGGTATATAAACAATTAAAATCAAATATGGATGCCGTCAAAGTGACTCAGTGAATAGCAAATGATCATTCCCTTTTGTACTATACTCGATGTTGTGGTTTGTGACACGGAGGTAAGGAATTCTGGAACTTCTGAATTCCAACTTGATAATTAATCTCATATTTAATTGTTGTGTGTTTGATAAAGTTGAATGAATGTCTCAAAAGGTCATCAGAGACTATATTGCAGTGGTTACACTCTTCGCACTCACTCTCAGAAATCTTGAGTTCGATTGCAATGTGGGAAGATTTTTTTATTTTATTGAGTATCTTCATCTGTATGCTTGGATATGGTATCATTCTCAGCCTAGGTCAGCCCTGATAGCCAGTGTCAAATCACCCAGTCTCTTAAATGATTTAACTCTTGAGCCCTGACCTCATGAGGCTACCGTGCCCCTCTGATTGAACTTCTGAGCAATTCACGCCTTCATTCATATCATTGTCAGAATCACATTCCTTATCCAACTCAGGGTAGTCCTCTTCATTACCAGCATCTAATTTAGAAAGATCTTCAAAATAATCAATAACATCCTGTGTAGTAAATACTGTTTTCCGCTTGTATTGTGTCCCAGATTGTCTGGAGCGGGATAGGATCTCACTCACGAATGTACTGGAGGCTAGGCATTTGGGCAGTTTTATGTGCGACCGGTGTACGGATGGCTAGGCATTTGGGCAGTTTTATGTGCCACCGGTGTACGGATGACTAGGCATACAGGCAGTTTCATGTGCCCCCGGTGTACGGATGGCTAGACATACAGGCCGTTTCATGTGCCCCCGGTGTACGGATGGCTAGACATACAGGCAGTTTCATGTGCCCCCGGTGTACGGATGGCTAGACATACAGGCAGTTTCATGTGCCCCCGGTGTACGGATGGCTAGACATAAAGGCAGTTTCATGTGCCCCCGGTGTACAGATGGCTAGACATACAGGCAGTTTCATGTGCCCCCAGTGTACGGATGGCTAGACATACAGGCAGTTTCATGTGCCCCCGGTGTACGGATGGCTAGACATAAAGGCAGTTTCATGTGCCCCCGGTGTGCGGATGGCTAGGCATTTGGGCAGTTTCGTGTGTCACCGGTGTACGGATGGCTAGGGTTCAAAGGGTTAAATTGTGTGGACGGGAGGGGGGGGGGGGCGGAAAATAGTCACTGTGTCTCTAGTTACCCAGTGGTTAGTTAGTGAGATCACCAATAACGTCAAGCAAGTGTCCGTGACACAAGGTTTAGATGGGTGGTCCCTGGGGTTGTGTCCACGTGCAAGGCACGATAACCCTTGCTAAGAATAAAACCTCACGGCACTGCTCAATGGTGACCAGCAATGGTATGATTGTGAAATTGTCTACGTTGGTGTAATATTGCCAATTTGATATTCTGTGTATGCATTATATTTATCATGATTTATGTGTTTTAATATGTATTTATGGATGTATGTTCGTTAGTGTAATCAAAATTCTCCCACGGGTATCAATAAAGTGTAATTTATTTATTTTATTTTATTATAATCACAATGTATGATCTCACAGGGTCACATAATCGAGTCGGTGGGCTGGAACTTACAGAATGCCAACGACAGCACGACAAGCGCCATCCTCATCGGGACGAGTAAAGGTGAGCGCATGAGTTCATGAAGAGAACTTTTCTACTCCAATGTTTTAAGTACCATAAGTTCATTTACATTCAAGAAACAAAAAAATGAAAATTTTTACTGTGTAATTTTTAGATCTCTCTCTCTCTTGCCCTTTTTAACTCCCAGTGGAGCATAGGCCATCAACTACATTTCTCCAACTAGAAGCCTGTCCTGAGCATCCTTTTCTAGCTGTTTCCATGATGTCCCCGCCTTTTCCATTTCCGCTTGTACCGCTCGCCTCGCGTGTAATTTTTAGATACTTCAGTGAAATCAAACTGTGCGGTAAACTTAGGTGAATACTACCAACTTGTGTCCCGTACGCTCATATTATGATCTCATACTGTTGCTTATAACTTTCATCCCCAAACTGAAAACAAGAGATGTGATGTCGTTTTGGCTATCTGTTGACACTTATTGGCCAAGAGGGGTGGTTCATGCTCACTTCCTGTTGCCACTTGTGGACGTCTTTAATGCGATGGCCTTTTGTTTGGGTCGTCTCACAAAAATTGAGACTGAAGTATGGCGTAATACAATGTGGGGATGGTGACAGACCTGAAAAAAAATCTTAGCAGTGATAGAGTCGTAAAAATTTTTTTGGTTAGAAGATTGCCTCTAATTGAAAAAAAAAAGACGAAATGGCTCTATGGGTGTTGAATTTTTGTTAGTAATGCATCGTCCTTTCGATGCATCATTTGTCACTTCAATTTCACCTTACACGGAGCGGCCCATTTATATGTCTACATTTTGGCTAGGTCTGGTTTTTCTCTGGGTTTAATGGTCATACAGTTTGCATATGAGGCCACGTTCCTAGGTTTTTAAAAATTAGTTTACTTGCTTTCTGAAAAAACTTGAGGCTTGTTGATAGCTTAATAGTAGTTTGAATGAACTGTCTTATAATGCCTTTCTCAAAAGGGTAAAGAATTCAGATACTGCAGACAAGAGAAACTTTGACCTGAGTATTTTAAAGATTTCATTTGATGGTTATTTAGAAAGCTCATCATATCACTATAAAAGATTTTGGATAGTCAGTGTGTGTGCATAATAGAAAATAGCCTGAAACAGTGCTCGCTGTCTGAAAATCTAAACAAAATGATGGCTTTGTGTTTTTGTCTCATTTTTTAAATTATAACTGTGTCACAGGGAATCTATTTTAGAAATTTCTGACGTTTAGATCCTGCTCGTTTCAAAGTACACTATAGTCATTTTCTCATGTAAAATGATGTTTATATGCTGAGTTCAGACTGCCTTTCAGTTCGTTTTGAGTGTGGTTGGAGAATGCCTCCTGTGAACCTTATGTTTACTTCTCTTCAACACATCTTTTTGACTTTTGTTTGTCATTTTTCTTTAATCCCAAGGCTAAATTGTCATTCTTATGTCAAAATACTTCTCTGCTCAAGTATAAAACTTATGTCTATTTTTATTTCTTTTGATTTTCCAGGTCTTATATTTGAGACAGAGCTGTCTGTCTATGAAGACAGTCGTTTTTTCCAGGGAAATATAGAACAGTATTTGAAACAGGTATCGGTCGATCGGTTTCCGATTATGTGTGTTTAAACAGTGTACCCAGTCTTTGGGTGCTGTGGCAGAGCGGTTAGTGCGCTTGTCTCCGAAGCGGAAAGTCCGGGTTCTAGCCTCGGTTCGGACAGGGATTTTTTTCACCCCCTCCTTCCCACCCAACAGTAATGGGTACCTGACTTCGAGTTGGGGAAGTAAAGGCGGCGTGGAAAGGAA